TCGTTTTCATTTCAAGCGATGCTTTGATTTCAGTTCGAAATATTTAATAAATACCTACAAAATAGTTCATCAGATATTACGCACTCTTTCATTAGAAAAACTATCCCAGCTTTAATAGTTGAGCATATTTAAAGTAGAGACCATGTCAGTGAACTCTGAGGGCAAAAAAGAAATAATTGTTCATTAATCATCATCTAAGTGAAATGTTCAATTAATCGTGATATTGATTTGAGGTCATATGTAACACTCACACATTTTCATTTAAAAAAATGAATGATTAACAATCACCAGGTTGGACATGCAATACCATCAGAAAAAAAGAAAGGCAGAAGTATTCTGTAATTTAACCAGTGTGTTAAAACCAGGAAAAAAATGGATGATATATTCCTGGCAAGATAAGTGACAAGAGCGTCTAGCAATGACTTTAAGGACAACCAAACCTATGAAACCATTTCTCTTGCTTGTTGCAACCATTCGACAACAGTGCTGTTGAATCAATGTTTAGAGCTGTTACAGTTTTAAAATAAAGTTATTACATATTAAGTTACAAACAAAGAGCTTACTCTTTTTAAATCCAAAATATCTACATCTCAAACACTGTTTAAACAAAGACAAAAAAAACAAAGACATGTTAGCAGAGTTGCAGAAAGTGAATAAGCAATTAATTTCTATGGCAACCATTTAAGATTCTTGGTTAGGTTGTTGTTAGGTAAATCATTATCTGATTTCAACCTGTAAGTCCGGTTTGCTTTGGTTAGCTTTCCACAGATATGTAAGCTATAGAACAAACTAGAAGTAGGCCACATCTGTGACTGTTAGCGCCACCCATGGCTCCTGAAGTAAGCTTTGGAAAAGCTTCACTTTTCATGTGAAGTCATTTTTAGTTCAAAACATCCAACATATATTGGTCTCCTCCAGAAAAACAAAACACCAAGATAGATTTTATTTTGAGAATCTGTTAGCTATGACAGTCATATTTGCTTGAATCTTGTTAACAACAGTTATTTAACCCTAAATTATATTTTGCCGTGAATATATTTTGCAATTAATGATTTGAAAGGCAGATAACGACGTCCACAAACAGAAAACAAACTATTTCTACTTTTATTTTTAATAGTTAAGATTGACCATTTCTGATGCAGTTCGGGTGAATTGAACACTGAAAGACTTTAGTGACTGATTGAAAAACAGGTCATCCTGTTTGACTTTTTCTTTGATCTACGTCAGTGAGAAGAAGGATTGCTTCACATTCAGCCTGAACACACATGAAGGAGCTCTCACTGTTTACTGTAACTGCATTCTAGTCCACACTTCCTTTGTCAATGACCTGAATACAGCCCTATGTTACATTTTAACCAACTATTCAAACCTTCATTAAGAGTTCCTAGCTTTGCAGACAGAATAATATGTACTGCCTTTATAATAAGAATGTAGTCTAATTGATTCTTGGAGCCCGGCTGTTTTGAGCTTTTAGCTTTAAAAGCAGCTCTTTAAAAGAAGAGACATGGCTGCTACCTTAACACCACTTTTTTTTTTTTTTTTTATCATAAAACAGAAAATCGTAAAAGAGCATCAACATCTCCATAAAATCCCAACAAAAGCTGAAAATAGTGAGATTCACAAGTGATAGATGTTCTGAATAATGCCTGACAGAATCAAAAGCGCCAAGTGACAAGAAAGGGGAAAGTGAAGATGTGTAAAATTGTGGGCCTATTAAAAAGTTAGAAACATTGTTCTATTTAAATTTTTAACTCTGCTTTATACCAGGCAATTTGACATCCAATCTATGATTTGTAGGCCTAGATAGCCTACATTTTTAAGAAGGTCTATATTCAACCGAGAGATGTATTAAATAGCTACATCCTTGTGTCACCACGCTAAACCTTTTCATTCTGATAAACCTATTTCGTTCTTGTTTAGCCTACACAAGTTTCCAATAGTTACTCCCGAGGTAACGAGATAACAACACGCTGCCTCATTTCACGATAACAGATACATTTAATCTGAACAGTCAGTTTCTTGGCAGCAGGTGTTTGACAGACGGACGGACTGACTTCATGTTCAGAGCTGCATTCAGCCGCCTGCTCACAAATATCATCTACTGCAGCCCAGCAATATGCCGCCAGCAAACAAACAAAAAAAAAAGCGGATTTCCCCACTTCTTATTCAAACACAGGCACAAAACAGAGATCTTAACGCGAAATTATACCGATTTTAAGAAAGCAGAAGACCTTACCTTACAAATGAAGAAAGGTTCTTTTCGGCTCTGCAAACTAGTTTTTCTATCTGCTCATGATTTGATAGTTGGAAGCTGGAGAGGATGTAAAGTGTTGACAAAAGGGCCAGCCGCAAAACGGTCAGTTCCTCTTTCTGTGTGTACAAGGAAGTAAAAGTTAACTTGCATTATATGCATAGTCTACAACTTATAAAAGTCCGGAAGCAAAGGGACGGTATCTATGCAAACTAGCCTGTGCAACAGTATGCGTGTGAAGGAGGGTCTGTTAAAGTGACATCGAGCAGGCAGGAAGGACTTTTATTTATGATTTAAAAACTGACTTTTAATTCAATATTATGTAAAAACCCTGCCCACACAATCCTCCCTCTGAGGATGAGTGCAGCCTGGGGTCACACAGAGAGCTGCACCAGATAAACCTCATCATCATCATCATCATCATCAACAGGTTGTACAAGAGAGAGGTCTTTTTTTTTTTTTACAAGATACCCCAGAATCCCATTATGCAATTATTTTATTTATGAGCAGCTACTCCAATTATACATTTAAAACTTAAAAACAAAAGATAACTTGGGGAATTTTCTTTTTTTTCAGTTAGCTTATCTTAAAATATTGGAGAAAGGACTTTTCACATCATAAAGATAAGTAAAAGCAGGGAACAGCTTGAAGAAAGTCGACTCTGCTTTCATCTTGAGTTTTATGTTTCATAGTATAATGCAACATTGCTCCTGTGCTTATTTATTTTAGGGGGGAAAAAACTCCTCTCATACCCTCCTATCATTTATCAGAAAAGCATCCTGTAAGGTACACAAATGGTCCTTAAAGGGATAATTGTGGCCCTTTATTTAGTTTTAAAGGTACAAAGTAATTCCAGAAAGCAGAGGGTATACTGTACGGTAATTGTTCTTTTAAGAAGCTTAAGTTACAGGATATAATACAGAAAATCATTGCTTAAAATCTAAACAGAGGATTAGGTTTACTGCAATAAAACGGGCTACTGGTAGCCTACATTTCCATTAAAGTCTTAGTCTGTGGGGCCTGGAGCTTAATTATAAACTTAGCTGGGCGGTTATTTCAGCTAGACTTTACATTTGCATCGTTATTCAAATGAATATTGAATAGTTTACAAAAGTAAAAGTGTATAACTTTCTCAGGCATATCACTCACTCAATGTAAGTCTTTGTCCAATTAAATGTGAAATACTGTTTGCTGTTTACACCTCTTCTTCGACCGACCCTGTGGCACAGTAACTCTCCAAAAGCAGACACAATGGTAAGGAACCTCTGATGTAGAATATTATATGAGCTGTGAGGAGCTCTGGCATCAAGAAAGCTTCAAGAGTTTTAGAAAAAGGTTAAACCAATCAATCTTTATTTGTTTGTATAGCGCCAATGGGATAATGTCAAATCACCAGAGCACCAGATACCAATCAAATAAAAGCATACTGAGTTGAAGTGGGCGTTTATCTAATACTATATATACAGAAGAAAAGCTCCATCTCTCTAAATAAAGAATTCCCTTGCACAAATATAAAAACAAGTACACACATTCTGCATGGGGATGTGTCCTACACTCCTACGTGTGAACTGCTGTAGAGATTTGCATGTGTAACTTGCCTCAGTTATTTGCATGATAGCAGATCAGGAGGTGAATACAGCCTTTCACACTCTGAGCAGCTGTTTTTCACTAACAGAATAAGAGATCTCAATATGCAGATCTTGTTACTTAAGACAACATTAAACAGTCACACATGTTCAAATAAAGACACACTGACTGAGCTAATGGGCAACGTCAACCAAGAAATATAAGACACACACACACACACACACACACACACACACACACACACACACACACACACAGTGTCCTCAGTCAACTTTAGGTACTGTGTTCAAGTGAAATTACTCTGAGAGGTAATGAACACATTTTCAACAGCACTACTGTACAAACTGATGATACAACTGCATAAAGGTCTAAACAGGACCTTAAAGAAAATGATTTATGACTGATACATCGACCTGGGTTCACATTGTATGGCTGCATTCTAGTCTGGGGTGTGTCACATTATATCAGGGTCCCAGATCTGTTAAATGTTGGGGAGTAGGGGAGGTAATCTTTAAGAAGCAGTGTTTTTTTAATGCTCTGTACATCCCAGACAAAAGTCATAAATTAAATACTCTACTTTAATATAAATACACTGGATGATCCTCCCTGTCAGTCTTGTCACCTCACTGCTCACATATCTGATTACACAATTACACAAGAATGGCAGAGAAAAAGTAGTTTGTTACAATAAATGATGACGCTCTCATGTGGACCCGTCCTGAACCTCAAGTGAGGCAGAGCACATTTGTCGCTGTCTCTTACTGGTTTTTTTCCAAAGTTACTGATCCAAGCTTTCAGGAAAATGATCATAAACAGGTCAAACCTTTTGAGCCAACCTATCGATACTGTTCCTAAAATGTCCAAAACGATGACAAGAAAGTATGACAATAATTAACAATTGAATAAAAGAAAAAGAAAAACAGACACCTGAGACGATGTTGTACACATCAAACCTGATTGAAATCACCTGGTACTATATGTCAGGTCTATAACAGACCCAGATCCCGGGTCCTTCTTATCTCAGACATACACTCATTCAGGTCTGCTAGAGTGGTTTGTATAATATATAAATAAAGCTTCTCCACAGTTTGAGTTGAGTTGAAGTATTTAGAGTCCCTTTACTGCTTTGTATTTGAGGAATTCTCTGAATAACTTTCATGTATCACTTTGGAAGAAGTTTATTAAATACTCATAATGATCAACAACAGCTCAGAATAAAAACTGGAGACACTGACGCAGGGATTTTCAATGCTTCAGCAATAAACACATTTACGCAGAAGTTCTGATTCTCAAATTATATTTTTTCCTAAGTTATTCTAAAAGGGATTCCTTCATCATTGAAATCAGACCTTAAGGAGAACTCTTGTTTGTAAATATTGTACAAATGTGTTAACCAGTAATGCAGGTGATGAACCAAATCTTTGTGATTAGGGGAGAAAGGAAAACGTGTGATTTACCAGGTGACTTACGTTCCAACTCTCATCTGTGGTCAAGAATTGTAAGTAAAGACCACAAGAATACGATTTGAAAAACCATCTTACACAAGAAGCCTCGTGGGTCATTAAGAGGAGCAGAAGTGTCTGAGCAGGATGAAAGACTGAAAACCTGTAATCACTGTGGGTATCAGAGGCATGTCTTAAAGTCAGAAGTGGAGGTTATTCAGCCGTGTCAGGTGATTACATCTATACTCATGTCCGTACCAGGAGGAGCCTCAATACATCAGGATTGTTTTGGTCTATCTCCCTGTTTCCAGTCACTGGTCCTCGTCTTCCTCGGGCTCTCTAAGACCCTGACTGTGCAGAGTCTTCCCAGCCATTTCCATCATGGCCTGGACCTCTGGATCCACATCCAAGATACTCTTCTTTCCCTGCCCCTCTTCGCCCTGAAACACAAAGCATACAAAAATGTCACGGGGGTAGAGGGCTGCATGGGGATTGGGATCTTGCAGGAGACAGGCAGTTTTAAAGTTGCTGTGGGGTGGAGCAAGCACTTCTCCTGGCACACCAGTACACCTGTTAGCGTATTTGAGACATTGCCTTTACAATGCCTAGATAACATAAATGAATAAATGACCTTAATGACTGAAACCGAAAACATCACAGACTACTTAAGATCGCTGTGGAGGAAGCAAAAGATGACAGTTGTATGTCGCCCTGTCCCATGCGTCTCTCCATTAAGATGTGCCTGCAGACTCTATCTGCCTTTTCTGATGGCGCAATAGATGCAGGGATACTCAACATGAAACTGCTAAATTTAAGCTGTCTTTGTTGAACTTCCACATCATGTTCACATTTCTGTTATGATTCCTTTAATTGATTGCAGTGTTTGACTGCTATTCTGAATGTAAATGGTGAGAATTTATGCTTGTGCAGGCAGGAGTAGACACGTGTGTGAGCAGGAGTGGATCACACACACTGCTGGTTTCACACAATGGTCAGAAAACCAGCAGGAACAGACAGACGTGGGATAAGAAAACGGGCCTGCAGATGGCTCGTTTTGGGGTTTAATTTTTCACACATGGGGGGTTTAATTTTTCACACAATGAAACAGTATAATATTAACCTTTTATTACCGCCACATAGTCATAAGCTTATATAAACTATTCAAGTGTAATATACATTTAAAAAAAAGCAAAACTGGGGCACTGGTGGCGCAGTGGTTAGTGCGAGCATGTATGGAGGCTGTAGTCCTCCAAGTGGACGGCCCGGGCTCTAATGTGACCTGTGGCTCCTTTCCTTTTCTGTCCTAACTCTCCAATAAAGGCACAAAATGCCCAAAAAACAATCTTAAAAAAAAGATAAAGAAAATAACTGTGGCTCGGACAGAAAAACTAAAAAAATAACTTAAAAAATAAAGATTTTCCCTGTTCGTAGTCTTCAGATGTCACGATGACATTTCACAATGAAAGGGAAAGTTTCAAGAACCCGATGATGTCTCTGGGTAGTAATTATAATTATTGATAAGCAGATTAGAGACTGATGAAATAAGTGAAATCTTCATCCGACTCTATTATGAACACGTGCTGTTTGCTTTGTGTTGAATACAGCAGTCATTAATTAATAATTATTTGTCACAATAACTTGATTCGTGTTTGGCCTAAACATTTTCTTTGAGCGATGAAAGTGCTCGTGTAACCGTTTTCCTTTGACCACCTAAATCAAATCAGTTCATCCGCGAGATCAAGTGGACATTCTTGCAGCATTAGAAGATATCCCCAGCAGATTTGAAGAGATATTGCATTAACAAGCAACGGTCAGATGGAAGGAATCTGACATCATGATAGCTGTAGCTGACTCAGAGTCTAAAAAATGATGGAATCCAAATGTCCTTGTACTCTATTTGTACAAGTCTGACCTGCATGCTCTCCTCTGACTGACTTCTCAATAAACTAGATCGAGAGTACTGTTATAATTTTACTGAATATGGACTTTTGTCTTCCTCTTTTCTTTTTTTTATTCCATAATGCAAAACTAGCATACAATGAAACAGCATTAGCCTCAGTTTGAGCGCAACCCACTGACCGAGCATTTCATACCCCACCTAACCCTTGTACCCATGCCTCTTTTGAGACAGATGTGCAACAAAGAACCCAAAACTTAATGAATAAAAGAAACCCAAGACTAAGTACTCCTCTGACCTCCTCTGGTTCTGGGGGTTTGCCGACCGCCCACACTTCCATCAGGTCCAGCGTGAAATCCTCCTCTCCAGAGATCTGAGGGCTGCCGTAGGTGGTGCACTTAGGCCGTGCACGGCTGTGACCCCGGCCAAAATCACTGTCCAGCCACAGGCCAAAGTATCCATGCTGACCGCCCATGCCCTGAGAAATAAACAGTGGAATCAGGACTTCATCATCACTTTAGTCCATCGAAATATTTCTACAATTCAGCTGCACTATCCTCCTCTGAAATAACATTTGATTCAAATGTGAGAAAACAGAAGCCAAAGCATTAAGTGTGTCAGTGGAAACCTACAATCAGGAAGATGATGATGTTAATACCAACATTAATAGTTAATCAAAAGACAAACATTTACTGAATTCCCCTTTAAAGCTGCATTGTTTGAATTTGTCTCCCTTTTTGGAAACGAGAAAAGAACAATAAGATCTTCTCTTAACGTTATCATAGCACATATTAAATATTCATGCTCCTTTGAGCCCTGTTTTTATTTCTCCATACAATCCTGAGAATAAAACCTTAACGAGTCTCTTACTGTGGCTTTCTCAATCCTTATGTCTTCTTTAAATGAAGGACACATCTTGACTAGTAGCAGGTAATTCAACATAAATTATAAAATACAGTACATGTGATGTTGACTATGTTGTCTACGCTCGCTGATGTTAAATTGTGCATAAATGTGCAGAACAGAAGCTTTTATACATGTCCGTACCAGGAGGAGTCTCAATACATCAGGATTGTTTTCCAGTCACTGGTCCTCATCTTCCTCAGGCTCTCTAAGACCCTTTTTACAGCTTTTATACATCATGTGTGAAGCTGCCTTATCAGTCCAACAGAACTTGTTCACTCAAAGGAACTTAATGATTCTCCCGTCCCCTGAACTTGTGTGTTGATGCAATCCTACTATATTTACACTCAGTGCACTGGCTTAATAAGAATTAGCTTCTTTTTTTTTTTTTACTTCCTGTAATATTTCAGTTCCCCCATGGTGAACTAGTGCAGCCTCACCAGTCCGTTCGGCATGGTCTGCTGGTTCTGGTTGAGGTACATGAAATGTTGGTTGTATCCTGTTGCCGTATAAACTCTCAGTGTGGGGAACACTGTGAACAGGAAGCATCTGGAGTCACCTACGTGCACACACACACACACAAATTATAATGAGCTGAGAGAAAAGTCAAGTGAGTGCCCACATTATTCAAACAATTAGTATTACTTCCTCAAAGCCCTCTTTCATTACAGCAGTCTTGATCTGGGGTTTCAACCTAAACAAAAATGAAAGTACTCTTTCTACCACAGAATTATAAAGTAATAACCTGAGTATTACTGCTATAAAAAACCTGTGTGTCTGGGTTATGTCAGCTTCACCATACAGAGAAATTATGACTTAAAGTCATTAATTAAAAGCATCAACATACATGTTACTTTGGTAATTTAATATGCCTACTTACAAGCTGCTTCACTGCAATACTTTTATGTCTGTTATCATTTATCTCCAAATGATGAGAAGTGAACTGGAATATTTGTATTTCTTAATTTATATGAAGTAACATTTGTTTCCTTGCTTAATATTTCATGTTGATCATGAAAGCACTCTGTGTTAAGAGGGACCTGGTTTCTTCTCTCACCCTGGAACTGAGGTTTGACCTCCCAGGCGTGGGATGCAAAGCCGCCAAAAACATGTCCCTTTGTGTCTTTGAGAAGCAGCAATGTGGGCCCACGCTTCATCAGGCCGGCCACCATCCGGGTAAAGCTCTCTCCATGCAGCTGTGTGGAAAACACAAGCCTCCAGGGGGCGCTGTAGCTGTCTGGCAACTTCAGATATTGACACAATGAAAGAGTGTTTAAATTTCAGCACAGTAAATAGATTTTCTTTACTTTGTAGTGAAAGATGAGCCACATTCAGCTTTATACTATTTACTCTAATCAAAGAAAGAGTGTCAAACTGTGGTGTAATTCTCTCAATGTGATGTATATACATTTGTATTCTGACCTGTGGTGCAAGAAACATTAAGGTAGGGAGGTCCAGCATACACCTCAAGTTTTTCCATGGTGTCTCTCTGCAGGGGGGCAGTAGGGTGGGGGTCGGTCTCCCGCTCAGGGACACATTCAGGCCCTCAGCTACCAGCATCTCAATGTACAATGACACCTGAGAGACCCTGAAGATCCAGTCCTCTAGACACGAAACATCACAAAGTCCCTGATCTGAGAGGAGAGGAGAGGAGAGGAGAGCAGCATCATTTCCTAACTCATAATATATTCTATAAACTTCACAGATGTTTAGTGTTTTAATGGAATTTTTATACACGCATTCTTACCAGATGGACAGTTTTGGTTAATCAAGCAGTTTTAATAGTGTATTACCTGAGGGTTTGAGTTCAGAACACATCTGCTCTGCTAGTAGTTTGACACCCAGTGAACCATCACCCATTCTCTCTGGCTGCCAGCCCTGCAGACGCCCTCTCTGGACCAGAATCTGAACTACAGCAGAAATCAGGTCCTGTAGGAACTATAAACAAAGGGAGAGGGCAAACCATAATATCAAGTAGAGTAAAAGAAAACTGCCAGAGAAGTTGACACATTACCGCCTGTATCATATTTCCGTCTTCTCACCTCTGCTACCTGCTCACATGTGACGGCTGACGGCACTGCGACGCCACACTGTGACATGGCCATAACAAGAGGAGCCCGTTCTTCTGCAGTGCCTCGCAGCGTGTCTGCCAGAAAGATGACCAACTGCTCTCGACCGACTCCAGAGGAAGAAGGGGTGCTGGTCTTCCCAGATGATCCTGCTGCTGCCAGTCCAGGGTCAATACTACACATGCACTGGTAGATCCTCCTGACCATGGAATCAGATGCCAGGCCGCCCATCGAGGACTAAGAGTGACAAAAAGAGGAGGTGATTATAAGCAGGCAATAGATTGGCAGAAACAGTATTCTGGTAGTAGGAATAAGAGAGTAGTACTCTTGCAAATAGGGTGGTTATGTTCTCTTATTTTTTTTAATCAAAACGTTAAAGTATTCTTTAAACAGCCTGACAGACTTCATGGCCTTTGCAAATTTGATTTGTTTTCTTTAAATGCAGGGTTGGTCATTTTCAAAAACTAGCATGGTTTTGAAAGTAGCCTGCCCTCAGTGCTCCGTCTTCACCCGCCCACCTCCCCTCTGTGCTCCCTCAAAACAGCCCGAGCACTTGAATTATTAATGTGCATAGTTGTTTAAATCTTCTGTATTATTTGCCCTGCTTATGATCACACTCTCTTGAATTGAACCTGTATGACTGGTCCATTAACTGCTTCATAAGTCTCACCTGCAGCATCTCAAGTGTCATGGCCTTTCCCATGACTGTCTTCCCTGAGGATCCCGCAGTCCCCCCAGTATTGCCCTGGAGTTTGTCGAAAACCCCCTCAACCACAGGCCGCTCCTCTGGGCGGAAGCGGGCCAGTCGCTTCTGCACCACCACACTCTCTGTGTTCCCCATGATGCTCTGCACTCACTGTGGAAAAACAAACAAAACACGTCAGTGTCTTAATGTTTAAGGGCAATGGAGTTATATTATAAAGCTAATCCACCAGAACACAGAATACACATTTTGTTAAACACACTCAAGTAATTATACAACAATAAGATTAATTTCATATTTCAAGAGAATTTGCAGAAATAATAGTTTTTTTCTAATTCTACCCAGACACTTTGTTTCTTGCATTACTTTTCTTTTGGAAAAACAACAAGTTTAAATAGAGAAATATGTGTACAAATTCTAAAATATCTGTAGGTCTTGTTATTTGTCCTATGTGTCTTGCTGTACTGTGTCCTGTGCCTGACTAAAAGAAAGGCTGTCAGTACTTTATATCAACTTATTTAAAATGAAGGTCTCTCTTTTCAACAATCAAACACCTGAAGGTCCCTCACCAAGAATGGGATCCAGAGGTCATCCAGAGCACATGTATATGTAATGTATAATTCATATAATATAGCAGTATAACAACATAAATACACACTAGTATTGTCAAAAGTAATTTCAGTCAAGTCAGAAAGTGATATGATAACGTTAAAGGTATTTAGTCATATTTACTCGATGGTAGCTTACGTTAAAAAGCTGTATAAAATACTGATGGCCTTTTATCTCCAGAGTTGAAAGAAAAAAAGCCTTCATGATGTCTATGGTTAGAGCTTATATGCTAAGCTCACACTAGCTAGTGAAGATCATGACTTTAGCTGTATCACCTCTGCAAAGACCGGACCTTTATATTAAACACTTGATGATACTAGACATGAAAGACCATTTTCTTATTGCTGGGCATTATAAAATAATCACTTAATGCGTCTGCATGCCGCTAACCTTTTAAAGAACAGCAGCTACTGTTTCCATCCTGCTTCTAGTGACAGCAAAATGTAAACTTCCGGGTAAGAATCCAGATGACGCTTAGTAGTAGCCAATCAAATGAGGTCAATGTTCACATAAGGCTTTGTGATTGGTTCCTGAAATATCGAGAGGCTGGAGTTGGTCGTTCACCAGTAGGATACAGAATGGATTAATTTTGAGATGAACAGAGTTAGAGGTATGTTTTACACCCACCGGTTTCTTAATTTAATTTAGAATTATTTCAAATCCCATTTGGACACTCAAATGTGTAATAAAAGGAAATATGTGGTAGGCTGTTGCCTGCTTTGTATTATATTAGTTTTATTTATTTATTTAACAGGAAAAAAAATATGCAACTTTTAACCCCACCTAGACACAATTTAATTCAAGTAAACACAAAAAGTCTGTGTAATTTCTACTTAGATGAGGAGGAACTGTAATTCCACCTTTCACCAGTAGAGTGTGCACAGGAGTAACCAAAGAGGCTGACAGAGCCCTCTGCAGAAGCAGCTAGCAGATAAAAACGCCTTTTAAGGGCATAGGACTTTCTGTGTGAGTGCACTGAGCTGGGTGTGTTGCATCGTAATGAAGTCTTACAGTGGAGGCACCCACATCAGAACAGCTGAATGTGTAGGTGACACGCAGCCATCCTGTCCACAGTGAGTAAACAAGATGGTGTAAACAGGATACCAGTCATGAATCACTGTATGAAGAAAAAGAAGCACCACAGAGACACACAGTCATTTCATAACCCACGTCTTAAAGAATGCATTTACTGTAAGAGCCGATTTCCAAAAGTTGATAACTTGGCCATACCTCTGAATGAATTGCGTGACAGTTTTTTTTTTGTTTTTTTTAACCATCCTCCCAAATTAACATTGTGTCTTTTATTACTGTTCAACCATTTTGATACTAAACGCAGATAGCCTACTTGAACATACTGGAGCTGATAGCTGAAGGCCACTTTTTCCCTCAAGCTCTAACCCCCAAGCACGTCAAACTGGGACATCTGAAGAGTAAATCAGGCACTGGGGGAATCTAATTCTTACCAGGTCATCATGGTAACACTGGATAAACAGGTGGTTAATCTGTAAATACAAAAAAACATGCCTGATGTAGCTCAGTTTAGATATGCCAGATGTGCAATTTCTGGTGAATTTAACAGGATTGTCTTTTAAAGCGCACAGAGTACAAAAAAAAACACTTCCTATTGCATAGGCCTTTATTTGTAGTACTTTGGATTATACACTTGCACAACTGTGACCTTGTTAAGGTAAGATTTAGTCTTGATATTTTTTTTAACACATCATTTTTGTTTTTTAAAAAAAACTGAAGAAATACCTTAACTAAGACAAATACTGCCCTGAATCCTCTCCCAACACTCTCATGCACCATCAGTGACACTTGTGGCTTTTAAATGCTCTTGTTTTACAAAACCAAACATGGAGTATTTGATTCAGGAGAAAAGCTTATGATTATGCATATCACTGATAAGAGCATGTTTTTCAAAGAAATACTGTGATGCCAAGAGCAAACAGACCATAAAGTAACGATGGTGGGAATTTAATACGCTGCACTACTGTTGCTGCTGCAGCAATCTTGTTGCACGCTTTGTTAGTTTTATTTTCACAGAGGCATGGCTGTATGTACAGGAGATTTAATAATGAATGTGCACACTCAGAGCAGCTAGGGTCTTAAAGCTGCTGCTAAGCTAACATTCACAGCTAACAGAAAAACACAAAAAGTACACCTTTCTAGCAAATAAGACAGTAAGCTAAAACGTTTTCCATTCAAAGAGCCAGTGCCGTGTTATGTGACTCTTAAACATTAGAGAGTAGATAACATTAGAGGATTTTACGACTCATTTTATCTGTCACATCGCTTCAGTGCCATGATTTCATTCTTTATTGATTTTAGCACGTGATACTAAAGAATAGATCTGAGAAGAGGATGGTGGAGTGTGAGCCAAAAAGTTGTATTGATCCGTCGCTATGGCATTAACATTGCAAAGTTTAGGATGTGTGGTTAACATAGAAAAACCCACAGGTATAACCATGTGACATTTCATTTCACAACAGCTTTCATTCATGTCACCCATGATTTATCATCCATTATTGTCTCATCTGTGTTTCAAGCAGGTACAGACACGAGACACACATGACTCAGTGTAGCTTGAGCGTATATATATGCTAAGGGAATACCAGGAACTGTGTTATCTCCCCTATACTGATTCAGCCGTCAGCAAGTTGAGACTTGATAACTGAGTCTTGTTACTTCTTCTTTTCTCTTCTCTTTGCCCACTAACCCTCCTCTCTGTTGTTTCCCTATAAGGTAAAAGTCTCACTGCTGGCTGACTGCACAGGAAATATCACTGAGTTCAAAAGAAAAAAAAGAAAAGCCACACGTCCTCTTTCACTGAATGACATTTTTAACCAACTTCAAAGTGTGCTTCATTTAAAAAAAAGCCACTCTACACCTACTTGAACTGTGTTATCTTTAGTCACGAACACTTTCTGTAGTTATTCTTAAGTCTTTATTGTAAAATAAGATTGAAATATTGAATGAAATCCATTAGATTTTCATTTTTCTTATTAGTTCTTGTAAAAAAAAAAAAAAAAAGGCACAATCACAGGCAGTGAAAATAATTCTATGACCCAAAGCATTCATTTTTTAGGGTTTTGACATAAATGGTGTGTGGGGCCTGTCTGTCAGAAGAGGGTTGCGTGTGTTTTTTAATCTCGCACAGTAAAACACAGAAGCAAAGCTCAGGTGCCCCAGTGTTTTGCATGTGCGTACTTAAAGGATTTCCATACGAAGGACACTTATGAGTCTGAGAAGAGTTTGATTTGACTACCTGACTTATCTTCTCTGCAGTGACTCACCTCAAGCTACAGCTAAGTTTACCTCTGAGACACTTCAACTGATATCTATATGCTGTAATAAGGTTTGTTGGCAGATGATTGTTTGCAAAAGTTTGATCTCATGCCTGGTGCCAAGTACTTGTTCATTGGTGCATTAATGTTGGGTCTTTTGCTATATTTTGGTGCCTTAAAAAATAGACGGATGGATTGAGGAGAATTGTTATAACAATTGTTATAACCCCCAACCCCCCCCCCCCCCCCATGCTCAGCCTGCCCCACTAAAGCCAAATATCCTCCTTTCAAGATTCAGAAAAAAAAAGGTCCTCGTTGATGCAACAAATCAGAAAATGCCACTCCCAAATAATAAGTTTTACTTATAACTGGTAGGTAGGATTGGCCACATAAAATATGGAGACCAGCGAGGGAGGTTGTCAGTTTTCTGATCACTTAACTGTACACAGTCTACTTGTAGCCGTGTTAGCGTAGCTTGTTGAGCGGTAGACGGAGGTGGGGTTCAAATGAAATAAACTACAGGCGCAAGTATAAAAGTTATGCACTAATTACTTTTGTTTACTTTAGCTTTCGATAAAAACAAAACAATCTGAGTTGTAGTTTACAGTCGTATTAACTTCAGTCGTTGACCAACCAGCATCTCTTACTGCCCCCCATACAAAGCAGTCTAGAACCGGGCCTGGCATTGGGACCCACATTAACAAAACACAGACAGAGACTTAGAGGAAAGGGTTCTGGAGTCATTGGCAGGGTTGTGATGAGCTCCTAGAGCTGGCCGCTGGGTAACAGAGGTCTGGAGGTACTGAAATCTGGACAAAAGATGAGACGGGATTATCAGGAAACTGCTACATTTAGAAAAAAAAAAAATAGCTTGAGCAGATTACCACGCTGGTTAAAAGGACAGTCTGGCAAAGAGTGGAAGACTGAGCTCTGCTTTTATCCGTTAGTGTGTAGGCGGCTTGGTTGCAGATGCAGCAGGTGTTTGCAGTTTGATTGGTGGCATGGTGTGGATCCACGCCCATCAGCAGACTAACACAGACCCAGGATTTTCCAAACATTGATTTTCCCTCTGGGTAGACATTTCTACATGTGTTCTAGTTACCGATGGATGATCACACATGATGGGAGAACCATTATTCATCCTCATAAAACTTCATCTTTTAAAAACAGTGACCTAAAACCCTTAAAACAACTAAGCAAGACAAACATGTGGTAAACATGCATACAGTAAGCATTTATGAAGAACCATACCTCTGTCCATCAGCAGCAGTGAGAGGCAGCTTCCTCATTGTGTTATCTGTGACAGCAGCTGATTTTAAAAAAAGGCACAACCTTGCACAAATTCTTCTACTTCAGAAGGCAGTATTCGCCTGGCCTCTCCTGACCTACATAATCTTCAATTAAAAAGAAATTAGTTTAATATTTGGTCGACTGCACAAATTAGTCCAGTGCCTGACAAGGGCAAAGTGGTTTCAAACTAGGGCTCCTCAAGTATTATGTAATGTAAGGTAATATATTAAGTGAATACATTAACAATAGAGGACCGAAACAAACCAAGAACCGATCAAACAATACATACAGAGATAGTGTATTCAAACCATATTAATAAAAGGACAAACAGGAATAAATTCAAAAATGATGAGATGAGTGAATTACATTAAAGCCTGTTTATAAGTGTGTATATATTTAGATTTATTTGGGTCTTTCATTAGATTGGACAGTGGATAGAGTAGGAAATCAAGATAGAGTGGGGATTGATATGTGGGAGAGGAGCTTCAGGTCACTCTCGAACCAGGGCTGCCCGCTTGGAGGACTTCAGCCTCCATACATGTGGTGAGACCTAACCATTGGCCTTCAGCGCCCCATTTGTGTGTGTGTATTTTAAGAAGATGAAACTGATTTCATTAGCCTTATTCCTTCTTGGAGACTATTTGACAGTACTTAAAGAGTCACAGTATAAACAGCCGAGTCACCTTTGTTCTAGGACCTGCATGTGGAACATTTTTAAGGGCCTTGCTTGAGGAATCATTAGCAGTGTTCAGGCTCATTAACGGCTACAAATCAAACGGTACAGCTACTGTAAACCTTTTCTCGCCACAAAAAGACCAGTATCAGTAAAGAGGAATGTAGTCTTTTTATTAAGTCTCAGTTAAAACTAGGTGTGCAACATTTGGGATAAG